TGCTAAGGTATATACTCACCAATTTCCTTTCCTTAAGGATAGGAGCTTCCTTTCCTTCATCATTGCTGTTAAATCCCTAGCATTTGTTGCCTGCTCTGCTCAAAAGGTGAGCACACTCCCTGTTGCTGGAGCAACCCTCAGGCAGGCAGGGAGATGCAGGAGCTAGAGGTGAGAGCTGCCTATGTGTACAGTGCACGGTAATTGTCCACCTGCAGCTGCCAGTGACGTTGGAGTGAGGGCGAGGGATCTAGAGCTCTGAATCACCCATAGCTGCTAAAGCCTCTTTGAGGATTTTAAAAAAAAATGTTAAATATAGTTTTAAGATTCCCTAGGGTGGGGGAGGAATGGTTGAAGGGAAAGCAAAAAAAAAGTTTGGTCCTGATGGGTCCCTGAAAAGTGCCCTAAGCCCTCCTCCAAATCCAAGTCCCAGGGCAGAACGTGTATGTAGAGGTAAATCACAGACACCCTATCAGGGGTGTTCAACATGGGGCCCACGGGCCGCCTGTGGCCCAGGATGGCTATGGATGTGGCCCAATACAAAATCAAAAATTTACTTAAAACATTATCACATTTTTTTTTGTTTTTGTTAGTGTTTGTATTTAATATTGGCTCAAGACAACAATTCTTCTTCCAGTGTGGCCCAGAGATGCCACAAGGTTGGACACCCCTGCATAGAGGAGACCAGTGGCCATGGTCAGGTACAGCCCAGGGCAATGGCAAGCCCAGAGTCCTCATCAACAGCATGGCGTGGGAGCAGAGAAAAGCCTTACCTCGGTTCAAATTGTGGGTGGGAGCCAGTCTCCCAGATTCCCCGTGTCCCTGGAAGAAGTGGCATGGGCATGTCACAGATGGCCTGTGACCTGAGGGGGCCTGGTGTTTGGAGAGCAGGAGGACGTATCGATACCAGTACATCTGCAGGCAAGAATCCAGAGGCCAAAGGGAAAGGGCCCTTTCAGAGGACTCCCGCGCCGACGGAGGGCAATGATGTGGACAGGTGAGCTCCATTCCAGCACCTGGGTCCTGTGTGGCACCCACAGCTTAGACCGTATCCTGAAGAGAGCGAGGGGATGGGGAAACTTTGAACTTCCCGATGTTGGTTCATGCATAGGCTGGAGGAGAGTTTTTTATTTTTTGCTATAAATGAACTCATGTACACACGCTCTCCTCGATGTGATTTTCCTTAATGTGGGTTCATGAATTCATTTGTGCCCAGAATAAAAACTCTCCCCTGGCTTTGAACATCTGCATCTCTGGCCTGAGGCTTAGGCACACCAAACTGAGTTCCCTTGCTCCCCTCTCATGCCTAAGCAGAATTGGTCCTGGACCAGAGAGGAGCAACTTGAACTTGGACCTCTTCCTTGTCATGTTCGGGGAGATGTGTTCTTTGTGAGAGTGCTCGTGAGTCTCAGCTGACCTGGGAAGTATCTGGAGGTCTTGTTGAAATCCGGATACCCAGGCCCACCCCGTAAACTGACCGTTAGTCTGACAAGGGCCTTAGAACAGCCGGTATTCTTGGCCACCTTTGCATTGGAAGATGACCCTGCCAGTGATGGCTGGGCACAGGGAGGGCGCTTAGAAGCATCCTGTGTGAAGGCTGTTCCCTGTCGGTGCTTGCCCTTGTGGCATTTAAACACACGGGCACGCCCTCATCAGCAGCACCGTTCTTTCCCAGTACAACCCCTGCCCTTCGTGAGCCCTCGGTGGGCGGAGTCGCTGGGGTTGCATCAGACAACCAGGCAGTGGGGGGCTCTTCGGGGGAGGCGGGCCAGCTCTCGCAGGATGCTCCCAGGTAGCCTGAGGCAAGGGAGGAGTGGAGCTGGCTGCTGGCGGTGGTACGCTCTCCACTTCCCTTCCTTCTCCCCTTTCTAAGGCCAAATGTTGATACCACCCTCGGGTGTTACCTTATCATCAACAATTCGTTTAGTGCCCAGAGTATAGTGAACATCAGACCTCCTCTCTGAGAGTCATTTATTTGATTTGTGTTGCTGAGTCAGCACCGTACTGGGCATGGGACAAAGATAGGGCTACTGTTAACAGGGGAGAGAGCCAAGTGATGGGGGCAGGCACTGCAGGACTGTGTCCAGGCCCCCCTCCCCCGAGGAGCCCTGGACAGGGGCAGCATAGCCCCTGACACTTTGGGCAGGGAGTAACAGAAGGGACGCCCCTCAAGGAAGTCCCGCTTCTAAGGCTGAGAGGAGTAAGGTGGAGAGAGAAAGGATTTTTTTGTGTTGTGCTTGGGGATCTGTGGCTTGCTTGGTCTTGCTTCTGAAAAGAAGACATGGAGAAGAAAATCCCGTCTACACTAGGACAGAAGCCAAGAGACGGGGTTGTAGGCTGAGGCTGTGTTGCTGACATCTCGGTGCTGAAGGGAGGCTCGGGCTATGAGGATTGTGTACTAGCAGCAAAGTAACACCCGTGCGCGCGCGCAGCTGGGATGGGCCACAGCAGCGTGTATGTGGGACATGGTCCCCATGGCCTGGGGTCGGACAAGCCTGTTGCTCACTCTAGACCCGATGACTCTGAAAAGCCTGGGGATTTGTGGGGAAGTCTGGATCCTACACTGTGTGGGGATGTAACACTTGTTACACTGCCCAGGAGTGGGGCTCCTGCCTTTAGCTGTCTAATGAATACTTGAGGGGTCCCTCAGGGGTCCATTAGAATGAACTACCCTAGGAGCCTGGGGGGAGTCAGAGCCAAGGTCAGAGCCACGGCTGAGCCCCACCCATGGCTGTCATGGCAAGATGGTCCATTCCACCTCTAAGCCATCCCAGCAGGTATGGACCAATTTGAGGAGTTTTGAGGTTGCTCTGTCCATTTGGGGACTGCCTAGGAGTTTTATTTCATTTGGGGCATCCTTAAAGTGTCATCCCAGGATTCTGTGGAGTCCTTTAAGGGCTGATCCAAACCCTATAGTCTCAGAAGACACGTAGACCTTGCTTGTCTTGAATCAGAACGGCTGTACACTTGTCTCTGTATTCACTGGACAGACATCGGAGTGCCTAGTGGATGCCAGACCCATGCCCGGTCTTTAGAGAAACAGCAGTGGGCAGGCAGAAGCCCTTCCCTTGCAGAGGTTACCTTTTATGAGGGTGAGATGAGGACAGACAATAAAGAACTGAGTAGCTTACTTCTCAAGGGTTAAGAAGAGCCACGAAGATTCTCAAAGAAAGCAGGAGAGGAGGGACGCGAAAAATACGGACCAATCCAGCAATTCCCAAGTGCTCTCCAACAGAGCACTGTTCTGGGAGACAGAGAACAGCCACATGCAACCCACCATTTCACCTCTGACCCTCTGAGTGGCTTCAGGGAAAACACATGCACGTATGCACACACACGCACATTGGAAGAAGCAACTGGGTCAAAACAAAAACATTTTTAATGACTTGTTTAAGCTCACATACTAAGATCAAAATCAAAACAGAAACAATGAGCAACTCACTTCAGGAATTCCCCATTGGCAATGCAGCCCCCACTTCACTCCTGGCTACAGGACAGCCTCGAGCTTTGCAGCCATCAGGAGAAACCCATCTCGCAAGTGACAGTTCCCCTTAATGAACCCGCTCCAGTCAAAATCCAGTGGAGAACTCTGAGCATGCTAGATTCCCTGTCCTCTCTCCATCACTCCCTCCCTGATCTGGTGGCTTGTGGCTTCTATGTGCTGCTGGTATCTGACTCTTTATCCGAAGCTCTCATCTATCCAGATGCCCACCCTGCATCTCCCTTTGGCGGTCTAAACAACACCTCCAAACTCACACGTTCCCGACTGAGCCACTGCTCTGCGCCTCCTACCTACTCCTGACCTCCCCAGCTCAGCTGATGGCACCTCTATTCTTCCAAATACTCAGACCAAAAACTTGAAACCATCCTTGACTCTTACCTTGCTCTCACACTGAATATCAATTCATCAGCCAAATCCTACATGTTCTTCCTTAAAGTACGTCCAGAAGCTGAGCACATCTCCTCACCTGCATCGATGCCACTGTCGTCCACGTCTTTATGATTCTCACTGCGAAATGCCTTAGTTGGTCCCCCTGTTTCTGCCCTTTGCTCCCCCGCTGTCTAATCTCAACACAGCAGCCTGTTAACCCCAAGTCAGTGCATCTGGCCTCTACTCAACCCTCCAAGGGCTCCCATCTCACTCGGAAGAAGAGCCAAAATCCCTACCATGATCCCTCCCCTTAGCTCTTACCCCTCTTACCTCTGATTCCATTTCCCGTCACGCCCCACCTTGCCCACTCTCTTCCAGCCACACTGCCCCTCTGCTGTTCCTCTTGTAGACCCGGCACACCCTCACCTCGGTGCTTCACATCGATTATTCTTTCTGCCTCAAATGCTAGTCCCAGGTAGCTGCCTAGCCCCCCTCCTTATACAAGTGCTAACTCTTTTGGCAAACCTTCCCTCGCCATTTAGAGTCAAATTTCAACCCCAGCCCATGATCTCTAGGTTCTTTCCTTGCAATATATATTTTTCACCATCTGACCCACTGTAAATTTTAATAAATTACCTGTCTTCCTTTCCCACTAGAACATAAGCTCCACAAGGCACAAATTTTGGTCTGTTCTATTCATTGCTGCACTCCCAGTCCCCAGAAGAGTTTGGGCACATGCTCATCAATGCTTGGTTGAACCAAGTTCTACAACTGAAGGAGCATACCACTCCTCTCCCAATAGTACTCCCCCTCGATGGCAGCACATAGTAGGCATTCAGATGCTCTTGTGGGCAGGAGAGGCTTTGTGAGCCTCCCCTCCCCCCAGCTTTCCTCATCGTCAGAAGGACAGGGAACAGAGTCTTCAGGGAGGGAGGATGACATCTGGTCTAGCCTAACAGGGCACCTGTGGGAGGCTGAGGGTGCCACCAGACAGCCAGCTCCTTGCATCTACGTCACATGTACAGCCTTTCTGAAAACAAGAGGGAATACTCTTTTCTGCCCCTTTGGGTGGGGCAAGAAGTCCCCCTAGGAACAAGATTCAAATCTGAACCCCTGGCATGTCTCTGTTTGGGTTTGGTCCTAGCAGCGACGACGTTAATCTTCCTCTGGAACTGTGTTCCATGGGGCTGTGCAAAGCCTGGGAACAGTGAGGGCATTAGGACCAGGAACGAGGCGTACGCCTGGCTCGCGCTGTGTCTGGCAGAGGGCTCTCGGCTGAGCGCGGAGCTATGTGTGAAAGGAAATCAGGCACTGCTTGCCGGCTTCTCATCTGTTGATCTGACCTGACTTGAAACGTCCAAAGGACGACAGCTGTCGGCTCTGCTGGACGGAGGACCCACCAGCTCCCCCTGACATCGCATAGCAACCTGACCACTCATGCAAGGGGGGAAACGAATCACATGGGACTAAACACCTGAGCAGAATGGAATAACTGTTTTCCCAAGGAGAAAAAGAGGGTAAAAGGGGGCAATCAATTTAATTTGAAGTCCCTGTGAATGGGCTTTCAGAAGGCAATTAAAGAAATCCTCTCAGAGAGGACCTGGGGTGGGACTTGGGTCCTGTGGCTTTCTGATTGTAAATGGAGGCTGGCCTTACACACGCTGTTGGCAAATGTCAGATGGGATAAAAGGAGCAGGTTAAGTGACTGTCAAAAAACTTCCAGGCAGAACCAGGAACCCAGGTTCTGCTGCAAGCTGGAGGGAACCTGGAGCAGGAGGAGAAAGCGAACTTGAACATGACCTGTTGCATTTGGCAAGTTCCAGCAACATGCTCCTAAGGAAGCGATGCAAGCATGGACCATGCAGACTGCACTTCCTGCTGCCCTTGCTGATGCTGGGATGCGTCCTGCTGATGGTGGCCATGCTGCCCCCTCCCCCGCACGCCCCGCACCAGGCTGTCACAGCCCAGGCCGCCCAGCACAGCCCTGAAGCTGGGTACCGCCTGGACTTCGGGGAATCCCAGGAATGGGTGCTGGAGTCTGAGGATGAGGACCAAGAATACGGTCCCCTGGAGGGCCTGCCACCTTTTATCTCACTGCGGGAGGATCAACTCCTGGTGGCCGTGGCCTCTCCCAGGGTCAGAAGGAACCAGAGCCAGGTCAGGAGAGGTGGCAGCTACAGGTTCATCAAGCAGTCGAGCAGGAGGCTGGACCAGGAGGCCCCGGAGAAGGACTGGGGGGCAGAGGAGGAGGACGAGGAGGTATCTGAGGAAGATGAGCTGCTGACCACACGCCGCCTGGAGGAGGCACTCAGCGTCCACATCCCCCTGCAGAGGGCGCTGCCCGAGGTACGGCATCCGCTGTAAGTAAGGCCCTGCTTCCCCTTCCTAGGTACTGGGGTGCTATCAGCAACGATGAGGTGCAAGCTTTCTGCACTCTGTCTCCATTGTCCCTAGGGCAGTGCTTCTCAAGGTGTGGCCACTGGAAGGCAGCGGCATGCGTCACCTGGGAACGTGTTGGAAAGGCAGAGCCTCAGGCCCCGCCCAGACCCCCGAGTCAGAAACCCTGGGTGGGGTCCCCTGATCTTTATCTAACCTGCCCTTCAGGCCAGAACCGCCGTCCTAGGGAACACAAAGGGAGCAACTCTTACTTGTTCCTTCTCTTTCCCATCTTGGGCTCTAGTCCTTCTGTCTGGATTATTGGGTCAAACGGCTTTGTCTACCTAACACAGATGTTCTCCAAGGCACCTTCCAATTACAATACTGTGGCTCCACTATATTTTGATATTATGATTGTTGTTAGTGTTTGCTTTTATTTTGGATCAAATAAGTGCAGCTAACATTTATGTGGCTCTTGCCCTGTGCCTGGTTTTAATCTAAGAACTTCTCATGTATTAACTTGTAAGGTCCTTACAACTCTGTTGGATGGGTGCTAATATTACCATTATGCCTATGTTATAGATATGAAAATAAGGCACAGAGAGGCCAAGTGACTTCTCCACAGTCACACAGCTAGCGGGTGCCAAAGCAGGGATTTGAATCTAGGTAGAAATTTTCATCTACCTGAACCACCACTCTATGCTACTCTCCTTAGTCCACTAAAGGGATAAGTCCAGTGCCCAGGAGCTGGAATACTGCACCAATGCAGTCTGACCTGGCAGGGTGACACCTGCCCCGCCCCCGCCATCTGAGGAGGAAGCTGGGATGACATGCAGGCTGTGCCCAGGGAGAGGGTGGGCTCATCCTGTACACTCCTGTCCTCTTCCCTCCACTCACACCAGCAACATGGCCGGCTGCAGAGAAGGGGGCCTGGTTAGCAGCAGCCAGGGGAAATGCAGCTGCTAGTTTGGGCGATCTAGGCCCCTTCCCTATAAGCCACATTTCTTTCCAGAGCCCAGGGAGTTTCCTGGGAAGCAAGTGCACGCTCCCACCCTCTGGGCGAGAGGATCCATGTAGAGCAGCAGTTGGGAGCAGGGCCACGTACACCACGGATCCCCATGGGGTCTCTCTGAGCCTGGCTAATTGGCCACTCACTCTCAGGGATGTGCAAATGCAGGACAGTGCAAGGGAGTGACGCCTCCTGACGCTGTGTGCCTGGGTGCCTTTCACCTCCCTCTGGTCTCAACACTGCTGTTCTGACTTCAAGCCTTGGCTTTAAAAGCTCTTTTCAGGAAACTTCCAGACCCAGCCAGCCCCACCCAACTCCACCCCCTTGAAGTTTTGTGCTCTCTGGAGTTTTAACTCATAACACTCACTGCAGCCAAAGCTGAATAGTCATTGCTGTGTTGGTTTGCTCAATGCCTGCTCCCCTTGCTGTGTGGTGAGCCCGTAGGTTTCAGCATACATTAAAGAAATGATTGCTGAGTAAGTGAATAGAGTTTTCAAGTTCTTTTCATACATTTTTTCACTGGCCTAGAGCAAGAATGAATATCCTCAAACTAGAGATCTCTGTTTACAACGTGTGTGTGACTATGTGTGTTGCATTGTGAAAGCGTGTTCTGCACGTGCATATCTGTGGGTACATTGCATATGTGTTTGAACATGGGTAGTGTGTGTGCATTGTGTTGTGTGTGTACCAAATGTGTGTTGTACATATGGGATGCATATAGTACGTGTGAGTAGCACAATATGGGGTGCCTGTGCATTTGTATATGTGATGTGATGTGCACAGGTATGAGTTGTATTGTATGTTATATGTGTATGTTTGTAATAAATGTGTTAGTGCTCATATGGGTTGATATGTATTGTGATGTGTATGGTGCACATATATAGTGTGTTGTGCATATGGTGTGAGTTGCACGTGTATCATGCACATGTATCCATGTATGTTTTGTGATGTTTTGCATATATTTTTGTGGTATGTGTGTATGTTTATTATGTCTTGACTGTATAACAAATTTATAATGTGCTCGTGTGTGTATTGTGCTCATGTGTGTATGCATCTGCTACATGCATGTGATAAATGCATTGTGTGAGTGGTACACATGTATATGTGCAAATGTGCTCTGCATTATGCATGTGATGTGAAGTGCATGGGTGTGCTGTGTATACGGCACAAGTGTGGGCAAATTTTGTGGCACTTGTATGTATAGAATTGTGCCGTGTGTGTCATGCTGTTGGTGTGACGTGCATGAGTATGTGTTGTACATGTGTGTGGTGTGAGCATGGGTACATTTTGTGTTGTGTGTGATGTGTATATATGTATATGTGCACCACTTTAGTGGGTTCCTCTTCAAGCGAGGGTAACCAGTCCATTTCAGTTTGCCTGGGACTTGCCTGATTTTAGCACTGAGAGCCACTACAGGTCTCAGGCAATCCAGGACAGTTGGTCTGTTGTTCCCCAGCTTCCCAGAATGCTCACAGCACAGCCCCCAGCTCTGTCTGGAGGTGTGAGGCGCCCTCTGCTGGCTGCAGCTGGTCCATGCAGCCTCTGCTTCCCAAGCCTTGGGCCTCGGACTCCCCTCTACGGTGCCCACTTCAGACACCCAGCACCCCTCTAGGATACATAAGGGATTCTCTGTAAAGTGAGACAGTAATACCGCCCCACACACACCCTCTCTACAGGGTGACAGGACCCTCCTCCTTCCACCACTTTAAAACCAGGCCAAAATAGGCCCCAAAAAGGACAGCCATCCATTCAGCACCAGCTACCCGCAGGTCCCACACTGCTGCTTCCCCACCAGAGCCAGAACACCAGGCTCCTCGCCGCTCTGCCGCCTGCTGCAGTGAGCGTCCTCCACCCCAGAGCTTTTTGCAAGCCCCTCCTTGGCTCCTGACCCAGACAAGCCTCACTGGCTCCAGTTCTTGCACCAAATCCCCCAAGCCAGCTGACCTTTTCTAACTACCTGTAGGGTCATTGCTGGAGGTCAGTTTCAAAAGAGGAAATGAGGAGACTTCCTAATAATGCAAGATCAAAACAAAAAAAAAATCGGTGTAAAAGATCAAAAGGCAGAACAGGAAAGAAGGGTAAAACTATAATGAACATTTACTAAATATGTTCTATGCACTGGGGATTCTGCTAAATGATGTTTACTTGTTTAATCTTCATGATAAACCTATAAGGTAAGTCTTACCATCTCCATTTTATGGATGAGAAATCTGAGGCACAGAAAGATGGAGGGACAGGGGCCAGGTTAGTTGACCAGGTGTGTCTGACACCAAAGTCATGCTCTTCACCTCCATGCTGTATTTTCTGGACAGGTCACATAAGTGGGAAGCATTCCCAATTTTTCCATCTATACAATGGGGAGCACGCATACTGACGGGTGCACAGGGAGATAGGGAAGACGACGTTTATCGCAGCATCCAATGGTGGCACGGAGGAGCTGGGAGCCACCTGGGAGCCTTATCCCTGGGCACAGTGAAGCACGGTGGAACGGTTGTAATGTGGGAAAGGCAGGGGATTGGGCTCAGGGGCAGGCAGTGAACGAATATGATGAAATGAAGAGAAGGGTGCAGGAGGGAGCCAGGGGCTGAGGACTAAGACTGACTCTGCCCTTCAATGCTGCCGTCAGAAGGTGGGGGTGGAGGGGAGGAACAAACCTTGCCCATTCAGCTTCTTGGTGTTGACAGCTTTCACCGCCCTTCCAGGCTTTGCCCTCCTTTGATCGTCCTGGCATCCAGCAAGGGGCAATGGATGTCCAGGATCAAAGGGGCTCCCAACTGAGAAAGGGCTTTGCAACCTCCCCTCGAGGCACAGTGGCTCTCCGACTTTTGTGAGTAGCACCACACCTAGAGGCTTTGTTGAAATAGATTCCTGGCCTCCGCCCCTGCAGTTCTGACTCAGTAGGTCTAGGGTGGGGTCTAAAAATTTGATTTCTATGAGTTCCTGGGTGCTGCGGCTGCTGCTACTGATCTAGGACACTCTTTATGCCAAACAGGTTGGACAGAGGCGTGCTTCTCAAGTTGTAATATGCATGCAACCCCCCATGGGCGTCTTGTTAAAACTCAAGAATCTAATTTACCAGTAATAGGCCAAGGCTGTGGCGCAAGAGGCTGCATTTCCATCTAGTTCCCAGTTGGTGCCAGCACTGCTGGACCACAGACCATGTTTTGAGCAGCAAGGGGCTACATCAGTGGTTCCCAAAGCTGTGTAGTAGATTCCCATCTATTGCTTGTTTAGAATGTAGATTTTCAGACCCTGTCCCTAGAGACTCTCCATAGTTTCAAGTTGGAGCCCAGTGACCTGAATTTTTAAAAGCTGATGCAAGATAGTTTGGGAAACCACTGGTATAGAATGTGAGTGGAGAGGTAATAGAGTTCTGGAAAGTTCCATGGACTTTGTACTGGGATTGGAAAATATAGAAGAGAAACATAGAGGAAGATAGTTCCCCTCCTAACCGGGGGTTTTGTCCTTAGACAGAAATGTCAGCTCAGCTGTAGCTCGCTGTGTGCTACCTTCTTACATCAGCCCTAGGTTACCCTGGTTTATATACTTAAAATTGCGATGACATCAAAGTCACATGGAACAGTGGACTGGGACTGAATCCTGGCACCACTCTCAATGGGTGACCTTATATAATCACTCAACCTTCCTGAGCCTCAGTTTCCTCAACTGTAAAAGGGAGGTAACGCCCTTGCATGAGGCTATAGCTCAAATGAGACTAAATGTTGAAGATGTTTCACACAATATTCAAGTCCAGACAGAAGTTGCCCCATCACATTCTTGGGTACAGGACCGTAGGAGTGATTTGGAAAGATGGAGGAAATTTGGGGCAGGCATCATTGTCCTTTCTCTGATCAAGCAGTTATTTTTCTGTCCCTGGGGGCTGCAAAATAATCACAAACTTGGGGGCACATTGGAATTATCTGGAAGGTCTTAGAAATCGCTCATACCCAGGTCCAGGGGGCCAGGCCAAGGATG